ACAACACCATGATAGATGGAGAAAAGATTGAAATAGTCAATGATTCATACTTGGGTCCACAATCAACACCCATCATGACATCATTCAGGAAATCAGAAGATGTGTTGCATTGGGAAAATCTCTTGCCAAGGACCTCTTTCCTTAAAGTGCTAAAGAACAGAGATGTCAGTTTAAATATTAAAGCACACCTGATCCAAACCATGGAATTTTCAACTCTTTTTTTATGTATCTGAAAGGTGGACAATGAATATGGAACACTGAGGAAGTATCAATTCAAACAGTCCTTTGAATTGTCATGTTAGCAAAGAGTATTGAATATACCACAGACTACCAAAGAACAAATAAATCTGTCTAGGGAGAAGTAGTACATCCAGGGTGATCCTTTGAGGTAAAAATGGTAAAATTTAATCTGACATCCTTTGGGCCTGTTGTCAGGAGGCACCAGTCCTTGGAAAAGGGCATCATGGGGAAAGTTCAAGATTGACCAAAGAGAAGATGACCCTAAAGGAGGTGGACCGATGCAACAGTTCAAGCAGATTAGCAGCCAGGAGGATGGTGTGGGATAGTGCCAGGTTCAGATCGCAGTGTTGTTCATAGGGCCCTGAAGAGATTTAGTCAACTTGGTGGCACCAACAACAATGGCATCGCTTCCTGTCTTCTGGGCTTTTCCCTTGGACCGATGATACTTTTTTGACCTTGTATTCTTGGCTATTCTGTAGAGTGAGTGCCTCCCTGGTGCTGTTTTTCACCTTATAGGCCCATCTGTTCTTTGGCTGAAAGTTGAAGCCACAGTGGTGAATCTTATTGCAGGTCAAATGGTAGCAGACTATAGACCATGGTCTAAGGGGTTCCCACAGTCCAGAAAGCCTGAACGCTTTTATACTTTGAAGTTTTGTTCTTTATTTTCTTCTTGTCTGGCCAACATCTTCCACTGTGATTCCTTTCAGCAGTGGTGGTGGGACACCATCTAATTATTCTGGTGTCAGAGTCATAATAGTTGAAGTTGATTGGAGCTTTATTCTTTTTTCACTAATTGTTCTGCACATTTTTGCTCTTCTTCTGCCTTCTTTGTTCTAAACCATGACTCTCATCTGTTTTATACAATAGTTAGAAGGAATCAGTTCTAGACATTAAGAGAGGTTAGTTATCTATTCTATACTCATGCCTCAGCAAGCAATATCATAAGACTATCATTATCGGATTTGTAATAACCTCATCATGGTTAGAGAAGCTGAGGGCAAAAAGTCTGCACAGTATCACTCAGTAATGTGTTAAATCACATGTATTTTCTTTGGGCCTTTTGTCTGTTGAGAAATTTTGGCTCTTCCAGTTAAAACTAAAAATGTTCCCCTGCCTCCCCACCCCACCCCTTTACAGGGAATAAAACCAAACAGGGAGAAAGAGTAGTCAGTGGTGTTTTTTAAAGGTTAAAATATTAACATGCTAAAAATTAAATTGTCAAAATGTGCAAAGGAAAATCATTTCTTTTTCCCTGCTTCAAGCAAATGAAAGTTTGTTTTTTGTGATGGAACAAATGAAGATTTGGGGGCCATGTGGAAACAAGCTGAACTAATTTATTGCCAAATGTTGTTCTGTGGCTGTGAAGCTTTTCACCACTAGCCTCAAAAAAATGACCTCACAAAAGCTGTGTCTGAAAGGAATCGCCAACTATTATTAACTCAATGACAGATTGTAACTGCGCTCTGACTCTTAGTGGATTAATAATTTTAAATTATTTTAATGGTTATTTTTTCCTTTTAAAAAGTACCAGATTTCTCTCCCTTTCCACCAGCCAAAAGTAGAGCAGTTTCTGCTCTCTTCTCCCTTTAGCCATCAAAATACTGGATAGCCTGTGAGATCCTGGTTGGTTTAATCCCAGCTGGAATCATCATAGAAATAAAAATTACAGTAAACTCATCAGCTCTCTCTTGAGACCAGTAACTTGATTGCTTCAAGTCACCTATAAATGACTTCTCCAGATAAAATGCCAAGCAAGCAACAGTAATCTCCTTCCTCCTCCTATGTCGGATGTCAGCTTGGTTTAAGACCACTATTTAGAATACAGATTGAGCCCAGTCAGCCATCACTTTTGGTTGAGAAGACAGACTGTCCACTTTTGGTTGAGAGTTTCCTCAAGAATGAAAGGCTTCCTAAGCATAGGTGTAGAACTCTTCTGATTCACTACATTATAGAGATCTCCCAAGTCAGGATATCCTCAAAGTTTAGTGGCCATCACCCTAAGGAATCTGAATAGACTGCACTAATTGGAGGGTTTGCCAAATGGTTTTATGCTATTGTTGTTGTGTATCATCGAGTCAGAACCAACCCATCACTGACCCTCCAGCGGGTTTTCAGCAGCACCTAATTGCATGGGAGGAGATCAACCATCCTTCTCCTGCTGGTGGCCTCGAACTGTGAGCCTTTGGGATTACAGCACAGCTTCTGTGACTGCTAGAAAGCAAGAGAGCTAGGTCCTTTGATGAGGAAAGATATTGCAGAAATTAACAAAACCAGCAGTCTTTCTTGAATGGAGTCAGTTCTTGACAGTTAATGTCACAGGAATGAAGACGGTTTTAGTCACCTAGTCCGGTATTAGACACCTATGCAGTATTAGTTAAATACTGAAAATAAGCGAACAAAATCTCTTTAGTTGGGTCAAACACATTCTTAAAAAAAAAGAAAAAGGGGAAAATGAAGAATCAAACCCATTGCTGTCAAGTCACTTCTGATTCATGGTGATTCCCATTGGGTTTCCAAGGTTTTATATCTTAGCAAGAGGGCACTCACTGTCTCATCTTTCTTCCATGAGCAGCTGGTGGGTTTGAACTGTTGACAAGTACTGTTTTGTCAGACTCTAGAAGCCAGAAAGTAAGTAGTTAGCACTGCTTACCATCTAACCAAGGAAGTAGAGAGAAAGTAAGAGAGAACCTTGTTGTGTACCATCGAGCCCGAACCCATAGTTGAGCCTTCAGCAAATTTTCAGAGGCTTCAATTGCACGGGAAGAAATTGCCCATTATTCTCCTCCTCCCAGAGAGCAGCTGGCGGATTCAAACTGTGTGCCTTCAGGATTGCAATGCAGATTCTTACCACTAGGCCACCAGATGCTTTATCCTTTTAATAAAAAAATATCCTTTATCCTGTGGAGCAGTTGGTGGATTCAAACTGCTGACCTTCCACTAGGCAGCACAGCTTATAATACACTGTGCCACCAGAGCTCTCCATTCTAACTTTAAGAGAGTGTTAAAAAAACAAAAAAATCCCTTCCCAGATGGAGCTCCAGTGATGTAGTCTGTACGGTGTCATGTCACAACCAAAAAAAAATCTCTTCCTGCTGAGAATCTAATTTTGAACACTCTAAGATCTTCCTCCCTCGAAGGAAAGAAGGCTGACCAATGATTTTCCCCAAGTTCTTGTACATAGTTTTGTTATCTTTTTTTATTACAGTGCTTAATAACAAAACTCTTCATTTGAAGAGTTCTGAATTAGAAATAGCTTTTTAAATTACATATATATAACTGTGACCTCCACATGATACTGCAGAGGAAAGTGTTACACTGTAGGAAGCTTCTTTTATGGCATCTTTCATATCCAACTTTTGTCTAACTGGTATTAAGAAATCCAAACGCTATTTGTTCTCAGTAACTATCGTTCAAAACCTAAAGCAGTTGGTTTAGAGGAATAGGAAATTGGTGCTCTCATACTGTGAGAGTGTTTCCATTGAGAGTCAGTGCTGCTGTGTATAACGTCCACAACAGAAAATTTCCTCAGTGATGAAAAATGGAATTATGTTTCTGAGTGTGCTATGTGAAAGATCATTTTGGGGGAGCCGCTAATTATATATAAATAAACAGTGTTCAGTGTTTTTCTGGTCCATGGCTTACCCCTTCCACACACATTCCCTTCTTCTATCACTTAAAAAAAAAGCAAATAGATGATAGGGATACATTCCTTACATAGACTTATTAAGCAAACTGGCATACATTCTCTAGGGAGCTCTGGTTGCCTCATGACAAGAAGCTGCACTGCAGTCCCCAAGCCATGCAGTTCGAGGCCACCAGTTGCTATGCTGTTTCGCAGGAGAAGGATGGACAGTCTCTTTCCATGTGATTAACTGTCACTGACAACCTGCGGGGGGTCAGCTATGGGTCGATTCCAACTCTGCGACACACATCAACAACAACAACAGCAGCAGCATGAATTCTCTAGGGAGCTTTGTGGGCCCAGTGGTAAGGAGTTGTGCTGTCACCCAAAGGTATGTGGTTTGAATCCACCAGCTACTCCACGGGAGAAGGATGCGCAGTCTCCTCGCATGGAATTTACTGCCTCTGAAAATCCCTTGGGAGCTCAGCTATGAGTCGGTTCTGACCGGACAGTACAAAACAAGAAGCCTCATGAATTCTAGTTTTCTAGGTTAGAGTGAAACCCTATAGTAAATACCGTATTCACCTTTGTTTTTTCTGCTACATGATAATGACTAAGAGACACACGTGTCAGCATTTAAGAAATGTAACAACCATGCAAGTCTGTATGAAGTCTCCAAGAGTAAGTGCAGAGTAGACCATCTGGCAATGGACTTGGTGACCCCCGAGCTCTGTGACCTACATGACTAGGCCATCTGTCACTTCTGTGCACTTTGTGACCCACGTGGCTCTGGAACAACCAACCAGCTTAGATGTGTTTCCATGTCTCCATAGACATATGCTCTCAGCTTTCCCATTTTGGAGAAAGCATCCCTGCAAAGGTCAGGATTCCTCTGGAACAACAGATAAAAACCAGAAGTTATATCCGACTGCATTCATTCTCTGCTTTTCATCACCCTTTAAAGCAGATGCCTTAAGATGAATGCATGGTACTTAGGGTGGTTTGATAAGTATTTCAGAGTGAGGAATTGCTAGCTCGGCACTTTTACAAGCAATGCTCAACCTATAGATAATGTTTGCATTAATAAGAGTCTTATGTTCCCTTTTAACATGGTTTGTCTTTTCCATTTTATTTAAAGGCATGACGTTGGCATTTGCAGGAACATATTTATTGGTGAATTTTGCTCCAAATATAACGCAGGCTATCTCAGCAAGAACAGTACAGTATTACATTGTTGGCTGGAAGTTCCTAATTTACGTGGTAAGAATTCTAAGTATTTTACTATTTCTGAAGCTACATCAACTTCCCTTGGAGACAGTACAACTAAACTTAAGAGACACTGGTCAAAAGAAAAAATGTCAGCATTTGACGTTTTTGGAATCACAGAAGCCAA